TACTGGCTCCGCGATGAGATTTTTCCGCGGATCGGCGGAAATCGGCAGATTTGACAGTCGCAGGGGTCCATTTTGTGAAACGAAATTCGTTGAGAAAATTGGGGGGGTTGATCTTGGACGTTGCGGTAGCAGGTGATTCACATGCTCTGATTAGACTGCGCATGCGGATTTGGCAATCTTAAAATTTGGTACGAGTTTCCGATGAGAGCACGTCAATCACAAGGTGATTCATGTACTCTGCTTGGACTGCGCATGCGAATTTTGCGATCTTAAAATTTGGTGCGGGTTTCCTATGAATGCCGAAGTTTCTTCGGGCACATAACTTTTTAGAAAATTGCCTCCAAAAGTCACTTTACGATGGAAAAATCGCGTTCTAACGTAGCGGAATGTATTCGCGACGCCCAGAAGGGGCCCCAGTTCGATTTACGCGAGCACACGTGGCACGGTTTCGGAGGAGATACGGAAAACGACACTTCGGCTCTTTCTACTATTATATAGTAGATATATATATGATAATTAATATGAGTCATATGTGGCTAAGAAATTATTTGACTGAAATCTGTTTGTGGTGGATAAGAAATTTTTGCACGCAACTTGTTTGTGGTGGCTAAGAATTTTGGTACATGTTTATTGTGGTTATAAATTGATGTCCCAAAATATATTTGTGGTGGTTAATAAATTCTTCTGGGCGCAAAATCGGTTTGTGGTGTCTCACTAGCTGTCCACAGAAAGAGAGAGAGAGCATATGGTAAACTCTATACTTTGTTCTGCACAGTGGCATATATATGTGTGCAGTAAGATTGTGTTGTACGGAATTTACCTAGAATTAATTTGGTGATAGATAGTACATAAACAATATTACTTTGGTAGTAAATACAATGTGTGTTTATTTACCATCATTTTATAATTGAAATGCAGACGTGTGCAAAAGCAGAATCCATAGCCACATGTAGACCTCAGAAATTCTTTGGTAGAATCCACAAAAGTAACAGGATTTTAAAAAACTGCATAGACTTTCAGCTGTTTTCAAATTGGATATATTTTTTAAATCACTGCTAGTCACACATATCCAAAATTATTTCCATTTTCTTTAATTTTTTGTTTGATTTTTCAAATATTTTAGACTTACGAGACAGCTGCCAACCACTTTCCGACAAAAAGCAGTAGGGAGGCATTAGAGGGGGTACAACACAGTCGCCCATGCTAGGTCCAGAGAGTTGTCCTCATGCCCCCCCCCCACAAGGAAAATCTAGAAATGGTGCAAAATTGTGCAATTTCCTACATTTCTTACAAAGATTTTATTCCTCAATTATATGAAGCAGTAGGTAAATACTGATAGGTGGTACTTTTTACAATGTTTTTTTTGAACAAAATTAACGAATATACCAGTAAAGTTTAATGCCTGTGAAAATAGTGAGGCTAGCATGTGTGAGAGAACATAAGAATGCTGTTGTTCAACATCTAAATCTCTAATATCAAGGTAGGTCACCATTAATATAATCAATTCCAGTATCACACACAAAAAACTTAATTGTTATTCTCGGTGAGAGCTAGGGAATGTTCAGTCCTTTTCTAACCTTATTACTTCATAAATGTCCACAAAATCAAATAAGTTAATCTAATATTATCATGTTAAAATGCAGCATAAATAAATTTTTTTTAAGAAAAAGAATGACCATGCAATATATCAAGTTTTTGATAAAAATAATTCATGTGAATGATGAGAAATCCGTAGTTACCATAATTTTTTGAAGTTCATTGCACAGTGAATGTGTCAATATGAACAGGATGGAGTTTTTGGCATGATAAAGCTTGCTATCACAGTCATCATGGGTAAACATACATCACTGTGTCTTTACGAGCCAATAGGGTGACATTCTACATTATACTTATAGCCTCGGAATATGCACTTTTTACACATTGGCATTCATAAACTATATTTTGCAGTATCTCACAATTCTAAAGACACTGATAATTACATGGATATACTTATAGTTATATACAATTTACTCCCACCGTGTATTCATATGTAACATTCGTCATAATTTATACATTGCATTCTGTGGAGCGAAAGAATGCTGCCTAGAGGTCAAGACACTGTGACGACAACAACCAACCGTAATGTTTTACAATTTATAAAATCAGAAACTATAGTTTCGAATAAGCTGTTGCACATGCGCATGACTTCCGGCGATAACCATATGCTGACTATAATAATTGTACCATCATATGCTGACGCCGAGGTGTTATTGGAACGTGGGTCGTCTCTGAACAAACAATGATGCTAGATGCTTTGTGATGAGAAAGATATACAGCTATATAAAATGCTTCCATCATTACGTGACGAAAAAAAATTCATAACAAAAATTAGGCTGCTCAACTGTCTTCGGATTGCAATAGCTTCTGTCAAACAGACAATTTTTGTTGTTTAGTGAAATTTGGTGTTACATGATCCGGGGCATCCAATCATTTATTGTGCAAGACTGCCCAGCTGAGAGCATATTTGCCTATCCTTAGCACAGAACCTCAAAATTAATAGAATGCCAATGCAACATTCAACAATCTCAAGTGAGTTTACAGACTCGATCCAATGTCCGCCACCGTATAGTAAGAAATAAGACGAACTTTGACCTACTACCAGTCATTAATGCCTGCAGTGTGGCTGTGTCAGTCTCTGAAATGTTGACTATGAACGTTACAGTAGGCCGTTTGTCGCAGCAGTGTGTTTTGACCTTAACCATGTTGGTACCCCCACTACCACAGCGACCCATTACTATTGTTGCCCAGGACTATTATCTATATTGCCTAGGAGTGGATAATAGAGACCTCTATTATCCACTCCTGATAATATGTGGTGTGAAATTTAATTGTGAGTGCGCATGCTTAGATCCAGCTATTCTAACTAACTGGTGAAGAACTGCTGGTTGCTGGAGCACAAATTTGAGCTCTTCTGAACATTTACCATTTACTATGGTGAACTTGAGGCCTGGTGACAATCCTCCACTCATGGCCATCATGGTTCACCAAAACGATTCTTCAGGGTACACGCCTAAATCCATGCAATAATTTATATGCAATCATGTGGAGGTCGCTTCTTATCATCAACATTTATACACAATAATTACATGCTAGGCAATGAATATGTACTGTCTGCACTGATTATATGGAGGCAGACATGTAACAATTATATCCATGTGACCTAGGCCTACTGGTCAAGGGCATGACATAAGGAAATAAAATTTACATAAAGTAATTAACCCAATAAATTCTTGATTCTTTTCGTGTTCATTGCAACACTATAAATTATAAAAAGAAGGGGTAACATTTGGTGGGGAGAAGTAAGCGGTAGTGATAGAAAGTGGCAGCAAAAACTGTTTGGAAACTTTTGAACCTTTGACAAAGTATACAATACAATCATACACAAAACAAAACTTATTAGACACGTGTGCTCCTTAGCTTAACTTTTCTATACTTGTAAGACATGGACTAGTGGTTATAGTTTTTCCCCAGCCAATTCTCATTAAGATGTTGGTCGAGGCTTCAATATTAGTTTACCAGTCTGAAAATAATACAGAAATGATCATCATTAATAATGGGATATTACATTTGGACACAGGGCCAAATGCATAAGTGGAATGCATGATTCTCTGCCGTAGCTGTAATTATGGCATGTAAGTGAATGTAATTAGGATATGACATATGTATAGAATAAGTACAGATATTCGTGATATTAAACACTGGTTGTTTATGAATGAGAGCACTGAATTTTTACTGATTAGTTTTAATGGTTTGATTATATTGCAACAGAAAGAATAAAAAGAAATTTGGATCTTAGATGTGGGAGTGTTACATTATGCGTAGGTATTTGCCAACAATTGATAAGTAGCAACAAGGGGACTGCAATAAAAAACAAAAACAAAAACAAAAAAGTTAAAGTTAGTGCCACCATATAGTAGACCAGGGGCTGTGCACACACATAGCTGTAGTACATATCTGGAGTAGTGTCATTAAAAGTCACATGCCTAGATATCTAAATAACCACTTTATGAGACAAAATATTTTATAAGAAATGAATAGCGTCTACACATTTAATACTTACATCATCACAGGACATGTTAAAATCTTGTAACACTTGTCGAACTCTCGCTACAATACTGATACATTGGTCAAGATAAATATATGAGCTTAATTAGCTACCATGTTTATGTGTATTGGCTTATGACTAAATTAATTATCCCGTAAAAACAGGTCAGAATTTCAAAATTGTTTAAATATCAGCACAAACATCATATTCTTGGCTTATTTATTTCTTAGGCTTATAGACCAGAAATGCTCTTTTTCTCCAAAACCAACGTCCAAAAATTAAAAAGATGTGAAACAGGGAATATTGCTGTGCTTATACACAGTGGGGGGATTGTATGTCTACATTGGGTAACTGTGGGGTGATATTCGTTTAACGACCCACAGAATCTAACTTCTAAGGGTAATTGTCCTCTCTTTACACTTGTATCGTTAGTTATAAAGGATAATTTGTGCACATTTTTAATTTGTATTGACATTTTTATGCTCTGAGATCTGATCTTTCAGGCTAATACGTTCCTAATTTATAGATGACTGTTTCCTCGTCCTCGTTCTATTATAAGAATAAATACCTGCTGTAGTAGTTACTTGGTTGGTTTTTGTAACCAGCAGCTGTGCTAACATCTGGTGGAACTAAGCTGTCTTAAAGTTGTCTTTTAATGGAGCTTTCCATTGAAGCCATACAATATAGTGCCAATTCTGGCATTTTGTACAAACATGTCTAAGAATTAAATACATACCGATAATATGAATTTTAATAGCATTTCAGCAGATGTAATTATTTTTCATATAAATGGGTTTTTAGAATTCTCTAAGTACGAAATCAGTAAAAAATTATTTTTTAATGTAGAATCAGGTTATCCAAATTACACTTTTATAATCACCAGCTGATCAAAACCTTATATGATACATATGAAGGATACATAGATGGTGCTACAACTCTTTTATGTATTCCTCCCATGAAGAGAAGACAAAGTATGATGGTACTAAGGACAAAATATGGGTGATTCCATAATGACTGAGTAAATGCCACCTGTAACGCAAAGAGAAACCATAACATTATAAATGATCAAGTATCAAGATTATGCAGTGCCCCAGTTGCATGGTGATCAGTAGCACTTAAATGTATGCAGTCAAATGTAATATCACAGCAGCAGACTGACAGATGTGCCACATTGAGTAGCATAGTTTGAATACTCTTGCCAATATAAACTAATACTAGTGCAAATCCCACCACCATAATAACCACCAATATGTACATACACGTACTTGATACAATACAATACAAAACTTGATACAAGTATGTGCTTACAAATATTAACAACAAATACTAACTGGCAAAATTAATAAAAAATTGATTACTGACCTTTGCTGTTTCATGGTCCAATAGCCATTGCCATGCTGCTGTTGCCGTGCAGACTGACACAATAATTAACATGACTGTAACAGACAAAGTTTTATGATGCTTAGTAAAGTACATTATTTTCTAGTAATTTAAAAATGTTATTCCACTTGTCAAAAAGAACTGAAATTCCAAAACTCATTATTTGCAGTGTTCCATATCAGTCTTTAGCAATTGAGAATACAAAAAAGCTATACGTACATTAAGCAAAATCTCAATCAGAGATTTACACAGCAGACATACAAAATATATATAGGTTCACAACTTCACATATATGACAAACTGTACAAATGGATTTCTTGCGAAATATTTTTGCACCAGAAGCTCTATATAGCTATATACTTACTTCTCCACCTTCCTGTTGCAGGCTGTAGACTAGACACAACTTCTGTGAGCCTTCTCTCAAATGCTTTTAAATCTGTAACATGCAGAAAGCTCAGGATTTATGTGCAAAGGTTCGCATTGTGTGACATCTACTCTGTTATTTAAAATTATAGTGGACATATTAACCTGAGCTCATTTTGCAAGTCAAACTGCAACAATTTCCCAAAAATACACTATATACTAGTAGTAGTAGTACTACTACTAGAACTAGTAGGGGCAGTGTTAGCCGGACCAGGCTGCGAGACTAAAACCCCATACAGACTATGAATTTTAGCATGCGTCAGACGCACGTTAACTTAGCGCGCGCTAACTAGGAGCGTACAGACTGCATATTTGGCCCTACTTTAAATGAGTCATCAGTTCTCCCATCGCTCAGTTCCCTGCTCGCCACGTCACCCTGCAGACAGCGAGGTACAGCGAGCGTGCGTGCGAGCGAGCGTACGTGACCTAAATAAGGCTATGCGCATGAGCATTGCGAAACTTAGCGCGCGTTAGGCACCGATTGCGTACACACACAGAGTTAGAGCGGGATAACTTGGTGCGCACCAAGATAGCCCTGCTTCGTAAGGGGGGCTAACTTGGAGCGGGCCAGCGCGTATTTGGAGCGCGATAGCGTGTACACACTGCAATTTTTAGCTCGCGTTAAACGCGCGCTAGTTTAGTACCATATCAAATTCGTAGTCTGTACGGGGTATAACATTACTCTACCCAGTTATTACCCAGAAAGCGGCCTAACACCTATCCATTGGAAAATCGTGTAAAAACTGTGAAACTATATGTACATCTCAAAAAATTATTCTCTTATATGAATTTTTTTAACTTGTATTGTATTATCAAGAGTACATAATAGGAGATTATGTATCTCCTATTATGTACTCTCAGTATTATGTTGAACCTTTACAATATAGTATTCCAGTGTCGTTATTAGTATTCATAACTTACTTCGCTGTCTACGCGGTAAATTTCACGGGGCAAACCAAACTCTGCTACTGTTTGATTACATTGTATTTAGGGGCCAGTCTGCACACATTGTCACACTGACACACAAGTCAAGAGCGGGGGACGCGATTGATATAAGGTTAACGGCACAGGCACTTGGAGCGTTTTGCAGGTAAAAGTAGTGAAAGGGCGGCTTACAGATAAAACGAAATCTGGATTGTAGGTACCAGTTCTTAACGGTTTCTGATAGTAGCTCTCATTTTGCACCTGGGATGTGATGCTGGACAATTTGCGCTGCGAAGGTGCGCGTCCAAATGCTTATCCTGCCAAACAGAACACTGGCTGCGCTGCACACTGATCACATAAAATATATAAGCAGGTAGAAAGCGTTGCTGCCAAAAATTCGACAGCTCGATGCTCGCTTGATTTCACACGATACAATACCATAAACATTCAACCATCTCTACTCCATCTTTGTTTCTATTTGAAGAACAGTGTTTTCACTTGTTATTAAAAAACATACTGTCTGCTGTTTCCGTAAACCGAGCATGTGTCACGCGCGAATTACACAAAGCCTGACGAAATTCTCGCGTTCGCTCCCGCATGCACAGTTTATGTTAAATGGCTGGTCAGAATTCAGGAAAACACCCACCGGCGTCATCGTGACTCATTTTTCCCGCCGCATTATTGCAATTGCTCCACTGGAGGCATTTGAACGAGCTCAGGACGGGAGTTGGGAAAGCAGCGTGGTAGTTTCCCAAAATGCAGTGCCGCCGCCTAATAGCCTGTACTTCAGCCATTTACATAAACTGCACAACCGGGACGCGAAACGCGAGAATTTCTTCAGGCTTTCGTGTGATTCCACGTAGACACAGCTCGATTATCGTACACAGACAGTATTGTTTTCTATAACAACTGCAACACTGTTACTTCAAATAAACAACAAGCTGCGCGCGAGCGACAGCGTCACTCTAACGTAGCTACTGCGGTGACTCTGTGGTGGAGTGGCTGGGATTCTAGTAACCTGTTTAGTCACCAAATGTGTTCACATACAATGACGAAACAGTGGAAGCATTTGAGGGAATGTTATATAGGAACCTTCTTAAAGAATGTTCACGTTGGATCTTATTGAAAGTGCCAAGAGATGCCGTTACGTTTAAGTGTCTTCAGATTAAAGAGCTGGAAGCTCCATCGCTAGAGTAGCAACAACTATTTCAAGACAGAATAGGTAAGCACGATCCCATTGACCTCACGCAAGCCTACAGGCTAAAATAAGAAGCTGCCACCTGCTAACTAATTGAACGCCAGGCAAAAAAACTACACAGTACCACTGGCCAGTGTGACATATTACATGCTAACACACTTGACCAGTACAGGAATGCCATAGAAAATTATACGATAAGGAGCATAAACCTTCTTCAACCAAATTTAGCTTTTGAAATTTCACTGCTTGACTATGTGCCTCATACATCCAGGCATGTACTATAGATTCTACTAGCAAACCCGCAGTTCAGAATTCTTTCTAACAGACAGCTCAACAAATCCAATGTTTAACCACTCCTCTTGAGGGTCAAAGTGTATCTGAACTTACTCTGGATGTCAGCAGAAAGTATATTCATGGTCCTTTCAATAATGCCCATTAAACAAATTTACTAGGTCAACGCTGAACAATAAGTTTTTGAATCGCTCCGTCAGACCATGGTCTCAGAAAATGGCTAACATCTGCCCTGTGCCCATTGACTATTGACTGGGACCTCACAATTGCGGCACAGTGATGGCTTTTCCTACGCATGCATGCTATACACCAACTATCGCGAGCCTAGGTCGAGCGTTTAGATTTGTGCCGCAATTCTGCATTTCTCCCTATACCTTAAGTTAAGGACGTGAATGCTTCCCCCTTCTTTTACACTCTTGACCTTGACCTTTGACCCCAGCTTCGAATCCAACTCGTTTGGACGGATCCCGCCGCGAATGTGCCTCCGAATATCCGTGCCTGTACGTCGACGCGGTTTAGTTTTTGTGCCCAACTTTGTTGACGGGGACGGGAGACGGAAGGCGCCTGGGCACGGGCACGGAAAGGTGACACACACGGCGACGCTAACGGCATTCATTAAAACTATTGTCCTGTTTACAGTCATCGTTAACGTTGATTACGATGTGCCACTTCTCAAGCGGATATGGACTATGCAGTATGACGACTAAAAATGGAGTAGACGATTTGGGTTTTGTAGAGCTGCTTTGCTGCTGTCTCTCTACTATTTCGTGTTGAATCAAGCGCAGGTCAACGCGAGATTTTTTTTTTGGCAGCCACGCTTTGCCTAACCTCGATTATGGGTTTTTAAACTCGTTTAGGGTCAGCTAGTGGGGCAATGGCTAAGTCGTGGGCGAGACACGTCAAGTGAACTTTTATGTGTTCGAACAAAGAGCGGTACTTTTTCAGTGAGCATCATATTTTTGATGTAATTGTCTTTTTTGGACCCGGAAGTAGTTGTGTAAGTAATATATGTGTCTTGTTATATTTGTACAGCAGCATGGCTCCATTAGTTTAAGGCGTGGATAAGAGTGTACAATGAGTTTGGTGGTATAATTCATGGAGGTATAGATGGAGAATATTTTTAATACTCTTTGAATGTAGGTTAACGAGAGTTTTATTTAGCTGTTTTATAGTTATTGTTAGCTTGGCATTAATCCCATAAGTTATTTAGTTATTTATTCTCAATTTTTATATTTGCATAAGCGACTTTGCCGCCATAAGGTACAAGTTGCCAAAGTACTCTGACTGGAGGTACATAGTCGTGCCTGTTGAGGTTTCATCTAAATACTTAGACATAGATACTAGTCTTACAAAGGTGCTTAACGCATTTACATAGCCATTCAAGTGGTCGCGCACATTTCGATACGCCTAAGACTCTAAGAGCTCACTCAATACGCCGCAGTGAATCTCCTCGCAATACTTACCCATAATTCGCGTATCGGATTATTTTCATACATTTTGACTTGATATCAAGAATGTATTTATTTTAATTATTTGTGTATTCTCTGCTTTATATGACTGTATTACAATATTGGGTTTTTATTTGGACGCCGATTGCTATTTTCTCTTATCACTGAACCTCAAAGTTTTTAGTCGACTTCGCTCGTAAGTGCATACGCGATATTTTTACGCTCTTGATGTGTCCGTGCAGTACTTCCTTGTTATTGTAGGGCCTGCGCTTAACAGGTAGAGTCTTTTGATCTTTGTAGCTCCTCCTGTCCTGTGTGGCCTGCTGGACAGGTTTGGCGCTCAGGAATGATTGTTGAGCCTCGAAATTTTGAAGACATCGTTGGTCGCGGGATTTGAGGTTGGGTACGACATCCTTGATGTTTATATACCTATTATTTATGAGGTGTATGTATACACTTGAGCAATTATTTTTAAGTGTTATGTAGGTATGGAATCAGGATAAGGAGTTTTTCATGGGATTCAGGGCTTTAGAGTTCGTTTAACCAATGAATGAAGGTGATTTAGTGATTTTTAGGCGAAGAGGTGTTAATGAAGTGTGGTACTGTGGCTTTGGCGGGATAATAGTTTCCTCGGATTCTACAGGTGGTTTTAAAAAAATAAGTTTAGTTGTTAGTAACTGTGACTCTATGATGGGAAACAGTTACTCATGCCATTCTTTATAAGATTCGTAGGTTAATTATTTTTAAAGTTACTTGATTTATTTTTTTTTGGATATGAAGGATGAGATGAACATATAGATTACGAATTTTACTTCGTTAGTTTGTGAAATGCTATTTAATAGACCTTACATTAATTAATCGCGGCTGGGGGTTTTATTTAATGTTTTTTGAAATTCTTTAGACCACATGATATTTAGATACAGAAATTGCCCGAGTATAAATATCGGGACCAACATGATATTGTATGGGCTTCGATGGAGGAGCTGTCCAATTTAGTTAAAATTAAGGTTACTAGGTTCGTGTGTTAAATATTTGTCCCAGCAGAGCTTAGGTGTGCAACTCAGTGGCATGTTAATAGTATCACCAGCAAGACAATGGCTGGTTGCAAAAAGCGAAGGCGCAAGTACCGACGATATTTAGTACTAATTTGAGCGACGACAAGCGGGGTATGTTATTCTTATGCACTAGAACGGGGGCGTGCCAATGGCAACTGATGGGGGGAAGGAACGAAGGACCGGTCAGGAGACACAAAATGTATTTCAGGAAACAGAGGACAGTATCTAGCCATAAAAATTGAAGGTGATGAAGCAGAACACAGTATTAGACCTGAGTGTGTGGAGATCACGGACTTTACGTAGAGTCACTCATAAGATGTACGACTAGGTACAGCGACAACGTGACAAATCAATAGGCAAAGAATGCTCCGTGCACCGACGTACGGTCACGCACACATCTATGCCCGCGTATGCAGTATAACTGCAACAGGACTCAAGCTGCTAAAAGCGCAGACGGACCAAACTCATGGGACGCGCTGTGATGCAGTTTAGAACTTGCCGCTTTGTGGTCTGCCTCGTTAGAACGCACACTCACTTCACTTTTCTCCGTTCACAGCCCGCTTACCACCACCCAAACTAGCGTAAGCACATAACAATCACCCAAAACATGCATCGCCTCTCTTATAGCAGGCACGCAAGTGCTGAGTTCCCTGTGATCTCGACGGCATTTTCCTTCATCTCTCACGCACGCGCACGGCACGCAACCGCAACACACCACCACCGGGCCCCGAATGTGGCTGGCGTTGCGAGCAACCCGCATTCGCGACATTTTGAGAGTCACAAGTGAAGCATTTTCTCTCGACTGATCCTACGCGGTCAGCAGCAGTGAACGCAACGCACAGTACGCACGACACAGCAGACACAGACGAAGTGTGCAGTTTGTCGCTGCGGGTAGTCGCTTCTCTTCTTCTCTCAAACTTTATCTCTTTTCTGAAAGTCTCGCTCTCGTTCGTTTTTCTTCTCTTCTCTCCGATCTTCTTCATCACTCTCACCACGACACAGCACGAGACACAACATCTAAACACACTACGACATCTTATCTACACAGCACGAGCACACGGGGACACACAGCGCACAGAAGCTAATAATACTAGCATCACTACACTCAAGTCAGTCAACTGCCCACTACGACATAAGGCATGCGACGAATACAGCTACAATCTACAGCCTGCACATCACATAATTCACTAATACACATTATATGAACGCACGCATCGTATCGCACACTACATACACATGATCAGCACACACGACTGCACACACACGACACCGCGACACGTCAAAGGTCGCTCACACACGGCATATCTCATCAAACGAACATGTACATGTGAACACTGATATGTAATATATCATGATACTTTGGTTACAAAATAAAGTATAAAATGTGTATAACTCGTTATATCTCTTTTTTAAGAATTTTATGTGTATTTAAGGCGTTTTCCTTGTGATAGAAGTTTATTAGATGAAATTTTCCACGGAAATGACCTCTCCAATGCTATATTAATCGTATGACATGTCATAGAAAAACGCGGGAGTCGGCGTTGGACGGATTTTCGCATTACGATATATATACGTTTTGGGGGGACGCATTACTTACTTACGTAATGCGCGGTATTAATGCTTCACCGTCCGTTGGAACTAACCACAAACCATAAAAAATAACGCACACACATGCCCGCAATCACGCACGCACTCACAATTAACACATACGCACACAATATCTAGTACGTGGGGGCGGCGGGCAACACGTGCAGTACGCACGGGTTACAGCAGCATGCACGTACGCAACCGGCAGCAAGCATGCACGTACGCACGCGCGCACACACATGCACGTACGCATGCGCACACACACACATGTACGTACGCACGTGCACACACACATGCACGTACGCATGCACGTACATACGCGCACATAGATGCACGCACGCGCACATACATGCGATTTAGTACGCTATTATGTCCGTAAGCTTCCGTGTGTAAACGTGTGACTTAGTACAGTAGTATGTCTCTGGTACGCTTCCGGTGTGTAACGTGCTGGACTTAGTACGGTAGTGTCTGTAAGCTTTCGCGTGCGCGGGGTGTAACATGCTTGTGATTTAGTACGGGTAGGGTGATGTCTGGGTAAGCTTGGTCGCGTGGGGTGTAACGTGTGATTTAGTTCACGGTAGTAGACTATGGTCTGCAAGCTTCGTGTGTGAACGATCGTGGAGTGTTAGGTACGGTAGTATGAACTTAAGCTTTTTTTTTTTTCCGTTTTTTTGTGAACGTCGTGATTTAGTTACGGTAGATATGTCTGTAAGCTTCCGGGGGGGGGGGTGGTTTAAGCGTGTGAGTGTTAGTACGGCGTAGATGTCTGTAAGCTTCGTGTGTACGTCCGAGTTGAATTTAGTACGGTAGATATGATCTGTAAGCTTCCGTGTGTAACGTGTGATTTAGATTACGGTGTGTATCGTCTGTACGAGCTTCCCTGTGTAAAAACGTGGTGACATTAGTACAGGTAAGTATGTCTTATAAGTGTTCCGTGCTGTAAAGTGCTGATTTAGTACTGGTAACTATGTGTCCGATATCTCCCATCTGTACACGTTAGTTCTTCACGGGTCAACTCACAATATCCACACACTCAGTACTGAGATGCCAGAAAAGAACAGGCAAATAGAGGAACACGTTCAAATAGTTTCGTTTTCGTTTTTTCCCCCAGCAGGGTTTGCACTTCTTTCCTGCAAAAAACAATGCAAACTCAGTGACAAGAACGGTTCAAACAAATCAAATTCCTAGTTTTATAGCGAAAATTGGTTGTTCGTGAATCGATAATTCCGTTTATTTATTAAAAGAATGACAAATTTAGATCGGTTGATTATTTATGTTACTGTTAGTGAGCTTCAGGGTGTATCTATAAGGTTTCACGTGGCGCACTCAATACACGCCGACTGTCTTTACAGGTGATAACAGATGTTTCAGAACAGCGTTACGATCACCACAATACTATATGCAATTACAAAATACAGTAATTTTTTTACTCATAAACAGCTATAGTTACGTGTCTTATCCCGGGCTTTTACCACAAAGTGATGTTTTAGCCCAATTGTGACTCTCCAGCTAAACGTCAGGTCGCGTTACCATATAACCAAGTCATATTCAATATAAATCCATATTCCGTACTGTAAAGTAAATAAACCCACTTCTAAAATTAACTTTCGGTTACTAATATAACTAATCAGATGCCGGTCATGACACGAACGAGTAAACCGGCTCAGTTCAATAAGCAATGAAGCCTGACCAGGCTGCGAGACCGACGTCAGTACACAGATCTTTCGATGTACGACCGTTTCCTGGAGCTATAAGCAATCTTTACTAAGCAACTGAATTAAAGTTTCCTGGCATGAATTCGATCTACAAGTCATTAAAAATGTGCAACTTAGCTGAGGACATATAACTACCATTAACATATACAGCGTAGTTCATTAACTACATGCGCACAATATAGCTCGCGCGGGTGTAAATGTATGCTTCACGTGCCAGACTCACAACATGTAACGAAAAGTAGCGAAATGGTCAATACTACTGCTGGAGTATTCTGCATTTTTCGCAAAAATGTCCACGGAATCAAGCGTCTCATTGAAATGTAGTTAGTGACCATTATATGCAGGTTTGATTGTATGATGAGAAATTTCTTACAGTAACAAGAGAAATACAATCTTGTGTACACTACTTGTAAACCATTCATATTAATTCACCCTCTGGATATTCATGGAGGTACGTCGAACAGCATAGATAGCGCGGTGCACATATTTTACTTGCTATATTCTCATAAATCATTACGTTCACTACACAACAAGTCAAAAAGTGCGCAGAAGTAGTTTCTTTAAACTTCACTCAATACATAATCTGAGAACTGGTATTCTTTTTAGCTGAACCCAGTTAGGTCACAGGTGTTCATGTACCCTGTTACCCCTATATCTAGAAGGCACATGTAGACGGTTGATTTTCGTCGAATACTCTTGGTATAACTCAGTTCAAACTGCAGTTTTCCTCACCAAATTAGAAAATATAATGAAAATATTGTAGTTTTATGAATAGATCTAAAAACTCCAACTAGTTTGTATCCGTGCAAGTGCATAAACACAACATTCCACGTATGAAAGTAAGGAAATTAGGAAATTAGTATTGGCATTCTGCTACATCACACAATCACTATACAAAGTACATCAATGTATATCGTGCTCTTTAGTGACACAAAACAAATTGACCTAAATCGGTTGGAGTATTGAAAATCATACTAATACTGCTAACAATAATCGGTTATTACGTAAGGGAACTCTTATATGAAAACGCACCAAATAGAATTAAACATTTTCACAATAATGATGAAATACTTAAACTAACATCTTTATCCGCCGTTATTTTTTAATGTTGCATATATTGTAAATTTAAACTCAAGGACATAAACAGTGCTGGTATTCAGCGCACAGTTCTGGATAAACCTATAGGGAGTACGTATGACTGACCTGTCAGGAGCAAAGATTAGCAGAAAATTGTAGTAGATGATGCCTGCTGGGATTTATGTGGATAGAAACTAAACGATGAAAATACAGTGCCGCTTTAAATGGAATAGGATTTTGCCAATAGTGTTCCAACAAGTTGAATAAAAAGTGCCAAAATCTCCTAATTAAATAACTACCTGTGTCTGCTCGTTTACATATCTAGATACAATTTTACCAATAAAACATTCATTTGCTATCATTCAACTATATCATGCAACCTCTCTGTGAACATTTGGTAATTAACAATTTTAATTTCAAAAACAGAAACGGTAAAAAGGCAACGAGGAAGATGTCTCAGTCCTGTTGTAAAGCTTCCCATGAAGTCAACATTTACTCTATATACTGTACTCACTCTACTTCCCATATCAAAGAACCTTGGAATTTTAGTTAGCAACAAAATATAACAAGTAAATAGGTTGTAAAATGGTGTAATAGTTTTTAAGACACACCAATACACAGGTGACACATCTGGGCTTTGCTCTACTATAAGCCAAGGTTTGCACATATCACCATTCTTGACTGGCTAGTAACATTTTATTTTGAACAAAGTGAGACTAAAAAGTGAGGCTATGTAAATTAATTCATTTTTACAATTTTTTTTTTGTCTGTCAAAAAGTTTACTGATCAAATCACTGTAAACCACACCATAAAATTGCCAAGTTAGCTGAATGGCCCAGTTCTATGAAACTTAGTTGACTTGATATCATCCATATGCCTGTAGACAGTGATGTCCAAAATCGGTGATCAAATACTTGGATAATATTTGGGGTTCCATGTGTCTGGCCGAAAAATCATTAATCCCGTTTCTTCTGGCGGCTTCCTTCCTCCTGCAAAAACGACCCTCTTTTATAAATACACTAAGCCAACACTACAATATCAACATAGAATAAAATAAAATAAATTAGTAAATAATATTATATAAATACAAGAAATCCGTAAAAGATTAAATAGTTAGTTCATAAGAAAAACAATAAAATTATGAATGACTGCAGTGTCATATATTATTAAGATGACCACCATTTGATTGTATACTATAGTCAGTTTCCCTAAATATTACATGTGGTTAGGAGACCAATAAAATTTGTGAGTTTGAAAGAATTGCTTTACTTGTTGATTTATATATATATATACCTAAGTTGTGAAAAAGTGAAAAACTGTAGAACCTATAATGCTGTCACTGATAATTCAACAGTTTTCAACCACGGTTACCCAACATGTGTTCATTTACGTATTGATATAATTGAGCCCAACTGTTGTGTTATATCAAACCTATTTACCTTTTGAGCCAGTATAATAAGTAGCTGGCGAAAAATGTTGATGAAGTCCAGGAACAGATCTACACAGTGCCTGAAAATATATAATAATAATGTGCAATCAATAAAATCTCAATATTGATTGAAAAGGTTGCATGTCATGTCGTAGCAGATATCTGTTAACATGTCAGAATATGGATTGGATATGATTGCATTACTTTAAGTCCCTACACATATATATCTAAATTCTTAGACAGACATAATGCAACTCTAATACAAAAACCTTCAATAGCTAATTTAGTGGACATGACGATTATAATTAAAGAGATCGTTTACTCTAGGTTCTAGGGTTAATTTAGGTTAAAATTACGCTACATAAAAAGTTTCATGGTTCAATCACCATTTGAAATATTATTAAAAAATGTTTTAAAACTAACGACTACAGTTTGATTACAACGACGGTGGCGCCACTCAAAGCGCACGATCTGATAAGTTGCGCAAAACCACTTTCCAGCCAAGGGCTACAGACCGAGGGTGTTTCTTATTTATTAATTTAAAAGCAGAATGATTGCAATATCTTATAAACGACATATAGTTTCAGTTATAATATGGATAAATTTGCCCTAAAATGAATATCGTTTGGTTAAATAGCATTTAGGCATAAATATAATTGCACTTTTGTGATTAGCCCTCGGTCTGTAACGTGCAAAAGAAATTGTCAAATACGCAACTTTTTCGGAGTGGCAGCACGGTCGCGGGTGTCATGGCGCCGTTCAAATTTCGTAGCGTTGATGTGTAATTAATTATAACAATTAAATTTATATTAGGTATCTGGTAACAAATACGTGTGGGTATAGAGGATTTGTTATACAGTAAGTACAGTTGTATGCAGTAAAATCCTAGAGGCTACTGTCCCTTTAAGATACAACATGTTGTCAGATGCTTGTTGTGTACTTGTGGTGAGGTGCCAGCATATTAAACTGGACTCAAAACTCACACTTGACACAAAACACGAGGTTTCATGCATCAGTAGCTGTCATGAGACGATTGCTGTTACGGAAATGCTTGTACATACCAGATGTAGTCAGTATCGCCACGGCGACGCTTCTCAACGATAAGCTGTGTGTCGTAGAGCACAAATGCACACATCACGGCCATGCCCAAGTACAGATTCACCTACAAGAACATTCGTACACACACACATTTAACTGCAAAACAGCTACTCAGAATACGGTGATTGGCTACAAGTATTCAATGCATAGTCATTCAGCTACAAAAAATTACTGAAGAACTTGTAACAAGTAATTGCGGTTATCGTGTATCATATTAATTGCATTACTAACGATGAGTATAATGATGAACCATACACATTTGTTAGTAATTGTGGGCATATGTATGTCTATATGCGTGTATAGTCCACATGTAAGTTTACAGGAAAAATAAATAAAAACTGGCAAACCTGAAACATGAGTCTTGACTGGAAAAACAGGTTAAAGATTGAAAGCAGCAGCATGAAGGATAGACCACTCATCAGCAAACCTGAAAAGAAACGGAGAGAAGTTACAGAAAAAGATACATTATGGTACATAAATTTTATAAATTTATAAATTTTGTAGGTATGAGGATAATATTTCTGTACAATTGAGCTTTCCTCTAAAGTGGAAACTCAGACTGGCTCTATGGGACGTATGTCTATGGTTCGACTGATGGAAGCTGCAGGAAATAATGTCTAATAATAATACTAGCTTGAATCTGTGGCAGCCCTAGTTGTGAAAACTACTACACAGTTTCTAAACACAGGCCACTACTCTGGGTTTGCTGTAACCAACTATATATGTTGCAGTTGGTCTAAGTAATGACCCAGTCGTTATATTAGCTACATGCTAGAAATGCTCAAAACGTAGCTCGCAAAAGTTTGGAGCAGAGCCTAGACCATGAATCTGTGGTTATTCTAGAATCTAGATGAATAAAGTGTATGTTGTATATGCACTGAAACTTAAATAGTTTTAATTAATTGGTGTGTGATGCTTATTTAGGCCTGTTGCCTATGGATGCCCACAACACCTACAGTCTTGCTTGCATTGACCCATATTTTATGTACTGCTTTATAGATGCATGCCATGCAATGTATAACTTTACAGATGCTACTAAACGTAGTTGCTTATCATCATAATACATAATATAAAAGCATAAAAGAAATTCAAATGTGAATTGTTTAGTAATTTACCACCAATGTAGAGCCATTTTCTTTGCTCACAGTAGAGAGCGCTGAGGGTGAAGCAGCCAAAGATTACGCACGTACTAAGGAATGCAGTGGGGATGATGCTGAAAAATCGAGACATCGAATTCATTAGTATCTCTCAATGTAAATATCCGTACGGAATAAGGAATAAGGAATAATTTATAACAGCAATTTTCATAGAAACACAATAGACATAAGTCATCAATCTAGACAAGTTTGATCAAAACTGCTATTGCTTATGATAGGAAAAAATCATCATATCACGTGATATTCTGGAACCTACCAAAAGCCAGTATGCACAATGGTAATATCTTTCTTCAATAGAAACATATGACAGCTGGTGACAGCATAATGGACAATACACACTGCATCGACAACAACCAACCATAACGTTCAGTGCCAACATCCCAGCCACACTGCTGGCATTGATGACCAGATCATTATAGCAAAGTTCGTGGCCTTTCTCGCTACAAAATGGGGGCATCTCAAGTTTGTAAACCTGAGACTGTTAAATGTTACATGGGCTTACTACTGATTTTGAGGTCCTGTGATAAGGATAACTAAATGTTTTTGTTTAGTTGGGCAGCCTTGCACGATACATGCCCCAGGTTCAATAAAACCGAATTTCCCAGAATTAATAAAATGGTCTGTTTGACAGATGCTACTGCAACGCAACGTTGAAAAGTGCTTACACTATCAAGTTTTAGTTGAAAATGTGACAAGTTGATCTACATTTCAACTATTCGACCAAAAGTCGGAAATTGTTCAATTTCTTCCTATGCAGCCATTCAGATAATAACAATCAGGGGGTGTGTCCCTCCACCCAGGGGGAGATTATTTGCAAACATCAAAGGAAGCGTAACATGCGAGAGATATCTGCGCTCCACATTTTCACTTGTAATATTGTATGCTCAGTTCATCACTTCGGTTAGAACACATGGGACACACTTATCATTCACTCCTTCTAGTCGTGTGACATGATCACAGTGTTGTTTATAGCAGGGCTCTCAAGGGGTAGCTTTAAAAATGAGTGAGATTTATTTTGAATCAGAAAATCTAGGGCTTCGGCCTTAGCCTTCGCGCCGCAGGCGCAAAGGGGATGGGGGTGGATGAGGGGGTTCCCCTCCCCCAGAAGAAATTTAAAAAAAATGGGGTGCTATTTGATGTCCTTAGCAGCAACCTGAACATGATATTTGTTGCTTATATAAGCATGAGTAATAAATGTCGAGATTCCCGTGCCTCGTGTCCCGCGTTTTTCGGCAAAGTTCGGCTAGACCCACTCTACGCAACGAAGAAAAACTGGATTCTTGCAGGTGCGTGAGAGCGTGAGATTGTGCTGAATTGTGTGAGTCTCACGCCAAATGCGGGAGGCTTGTGAGCCCTGTTATAGGCTTGCTGCTGGAGAATTATGGATAGAATTTTCAACTAGGTTGTTGATAAACAATATTCAAAAGTCTGGTTTGTAAGGTCACTAGCAGTAAAATTAGGCAAATCAATATGAACTTAGTGGTAGGGTTACATAAATGACACAAGATGGCAGTTATTCTATTAATTTTCAGTTAGTCAACACTGCAGATCAGTAGACATATAATTCCTTTTAAGTAAATGCATATATACAGTAACATATGCTAGATCAATCCTACTAGTGCTGAGAGGGTCTATGTCCCCCAGGGTACTGCCGGAACGTATCCTGGGTCCGGTCCGGTATAGTACGTTCCTCGCCTACTCCCTAACCCTAACCCTAACCATATCAAATAGTTACCAGGGTACGTTCCGGTATACCGGACCGTACCCAGGGTACGTTCCGGCAGTACCCTGGGGGACATAGACCCTATGAGCCCTACTAGTCCATAGTTGACTGGATTAAGATTAGGCTAGGATTAGATTAGGTTATGAATGCATTAGGGTTTTATGTGGATTAGGGTCATGGTGTAGATGTAAGCCAGCGATGTTACATGTATGGTAGTCCTAATGTAGTATTGCCCTGGTATATGGTACAACATCATTCCTACCATCATTTTCCATGAGATAGGCTAGCATACGAAATCAGATGAGGGTGTATATCATAGCATAGAGCGAAACTAATTGTATGAACGTTTTTTTTTATTTATCTCTTATATTCTTCGGCCCACCTCAGAAGATAGTCATAAAGCATAATAATGATATATAAATACAGCCAAACCTGTGTTAGCGGCCCCCCTAAATTGAATTTCTAACTGTTAGTAACAGCCATCTTTTGTTTTTTCTCTGATTGGCAGCCATAAAGTTAAACCACCTCTATAGAATGGCCATCTGTCTGTAAAGGCCATTTGCCGTTACTCCCAGAGTAGCCATCGTATACCGGTATGAATACAAGGTAGAAAAGCACAATATGAATAACGAATAAGTGAATGACATGGCGTCGCATACCTAGGGTTGATGCTGATCACCGCGTCAAGCAGCGGGCCCATGCCGAGTCCAGTGAAGAAGCCAAAGCCCAGCAGGAAGCCGAGGCGCATCTTCTGGTTGTAGGTAGACGTCGGTGGCGTGGCTCCCAGCAGGATGAGCAACCCGATTGATGCGATCGCTGACAGGAAGTTTCCCTGTGTAACCAGTCAGCGTTATCATCGTCAGCAATCGTAATAGGGCGTGTACAATGCACGATAACATACATATAGGCTACATATTTTCAAGGTCAATCATACATTACAATGCCCAGTGAGGAAGTAGAGGGTTAATATTAGGTGAGAATTTGGTTAGCATAGTGACTAGGTTAGGGATAGGGTTAAGATTACAATGTAGACAGGGTTAACAGTAACAGGGTCACGGTTAGGGTGGCGATGATTTATGTAAGGCTTCCTACAGTACAATGAAGCACAGATGACACATGTGTATGTATACCCACACATACACAGTCATACTGAAAAGGCACGTATTCACACAAGGCTGCCCAATCTCAAAAATGAGCACGCATGTTCGGGCGATCTCTCCCTAGTGATATGAACTCTTATATGCACTAATATGGTTCCCTGACTACTTTCCCCATTATTTGGCTAAATGACACACATCGCAGGCACCTTTAGGTAGTCGGTGACAACATGCACGTAGGCTCCTGTAGCGGCTGCAATCATGGTGGCTGCCAGACAGCTGTAGACATTTCTCAGGTGACTGCGTACTGGCTTTTCTCTGCAAGGAAAATGGACGAACTAGTATGAATGATTAATCATATTTGGTTAGGAGATATAAACACAGGAATGAACTCTTGATGGGAATTCATGATTAACACGTGATACTGATACTCTACATTGAGCCACTGATAGTATACCCTGATATACCAACACCACCGACTACGACCATAACCACAACCATAACTGTACACTCTATGACCCTCTCATAGGACCTCACATTTTCACATTAAGATAAAGACAATGCATTATAATAGCTGCACGGTACCATGCTGGTATGTTTTTCAAGGCTGAAGCTAGACAGTATTTTTCCAGATTTTAAGGGCACATCCCCCAAAAAGGGCACATCACCCCACAGTGGGCGCCGTTATAGGCGCGGAAGCACATTGAAATTTTGAATTTCAAGGGTCTCTGGGCACAAAAATGAGCACCATTTGAGTACACATTTAGTCAAGCAGCAATAGCTAAAAACCATATGGAATTTTATTTCTGCTTCATTTTGCCTGCGCTTTGCATACCAGCAATTAATGCAGAATGATTCAAGCACTTTCCTTCTTTTTCAGATATCAAAGCTAGTTTTGATACCATGTAAAATTTTGATTTCTTTCAAGTCCTGTCAATGAATCAGAAGAAAAAGAAAACAAATAAAGAATATAGCCAAATTCCATCAAATTGTTTTCTGTATTTTTTAGCGCAAAATTTCGAAGGGCACTTTGAAATCTAGACCGTATTTCCCAATATGGCAAATACGGTCTGAATCCGCCCCTGCCTACAATTATTTTACGATAATCTCATATTATACAATTGTTTTGAAGGTATCAATGACTACTGTTATATAAGTTCATAGTGCATTCACCTAATTGTAACGATATTGGTTACCTAAACAACAATGCAAGTGATACAGTGTTCCTGAGAATATATAGAATAGTACCATAGATACACATTCTCACAGTATAGCTCACATATTCCACATGAGCTCATTGAAACCTGTGCTGCATTGCAACAGCAGAGCAGTAAAGGGCATAGCAACAAACACATAGGCCTAATATGTTTGCAGCCTGCAACTAAACTGGGGTGCTCCTCAGACTGTAATCATTGACACATCATACATAAACTAGCACATCCTATTTATAAAATGAATAGCAATAATGCGATGTTGAAATTAAATAGCTTAGCTACCAAGTTACGTAACCGAGATTAGAGTTGTTGTGGATATGGAGCTACAAGGCCGATCCCGACTAAACTAACATGATATAAACAAACAGTAAACAAATGTAGGCGCTGGTATGTGGTTGACCCTGATATTCAGTCCATAGTGAATACACGCTGACTCATGATAGCTCATACTAGCTGTGTTCACAATTTTAACAATTTTCTGCCATACTCTATATATCGCCTACATATCCTATACACAGTAATGTCTCCCTTTACTCACAGACGTTCAGATAAGCTGTTGAAAAACCTATCAAAATTTGGAGCAGCCATATTAGCAATGACAATATCGGAGAAACTATGGGAGAAACGCGTGAACGCACGCATTCACAATGAAAGATGCCCAGCTATTGGCAGCTATGTATTGATCCGTCTGCATGCTCAGAGACTGTCTGTCATTGGTTGACGTTTCGCCCTCGGAAGCTGAGCATCTGTAACATATATCGCGGCGCAATCACCGCGCTGAAAGCACATACGTGTGTTTGCGGCGAGTGTGCAGGAAAACGTGGGAACGTCATAACGCCCTCCAGTGAAATGTCTCACTCTTCTATTTACTGGTTTACTACTCATGCCATGTATTTACTAATAAATGTAACACACATTTTATTGTTTCCACTACCAGGACTAGTGCGTACACGCATCGAAGCTATGTTCGCCGATCGTTTAATTATGCCTATTTTGTAATTTACCTGAATGTGACTCCTAACTTCATTCATTCTTTACAAAAACAACAATAGACTGGAACCAGCTGCCAGAAGCCCTGGCAGCAGCCACACCACCTGAGACATTCACAACAGTGGCGAGGAAACTTTATCATCGGTTCTGCTGATAACCCCCCCCCCCTAACCTTCTTCCGCCGTATTATACCGTAATGGCCCTGCACCGTGATCGTTAAGATTCCGAGAACTGCAAGCGTAAAGTTGATTAACGAAAAAAATGTCGCTAAGCTAACGGCGTGCCTGCATCCAACACAGATCAGTCATGATGAATGTAATCAGGCGAAACCAATGAGATATTTGTCCTGATTCACCCCTGATGCAATGAAGGCAGCCTACTAAATTACATATACTATCAAGAGCTCATAATAGAGATCTTGATACTAACTACACCGGATACTGCCATCATTTAAAGGCGAATTAGGCGATTAGGCCCCACTAGCACATCTGACATTCAAGTTCTACCAATCAGACCATGACCTCGTACGGAGCAGGTAGCTATAGTGCTGTTAGCCTTGAAATTAGTATTTTTCCTGCGTAAAACCGTCCAAGGAACCCATCAGACCATTAAGTGGTGCATCATGCCAAGATGTAAACGCCACCGGCGATGACCCGCGCTCGCTCACATGCAAAGTGTCTCGGCTGCCGTTTATCCGATGGCTTGAGAAATTATTCATTCATCATAGAATAACATATACGTCAATTGGCGGAATTGTCTAACTTCACAGCCGTGGTAATGCTGTACATAGACATCAAGAGTACATATGAGCCCCATGCGCCCCATGTGCGTGGTCTATTTATTATGTACCCTTGATAGACATAGACTACGATTAGTGAGATAGCAAGACATGGGCCGACAAGTAGAAACATTGGTGCGTGAGACAATATACAATACATCAAGACATACAACCGAATAACGTGATCAAGATTTTAAAGTTGCAATTATTTCTAATGGAGCATTGCTTGAACAAACTGGAAAATTTTCGTGCTCAATTATCATTACACACACTAATTATTCGATATATCTTTCGGCTGAGGTTGAAGACTTGACCATTAAAATTCTTTGTGACGTAAGACCATATATGTGTTCACAGTAACGACTGAATTCTTTTATCTACGTCATTAATTATTCTTTTATTAATTCGATGCATTAATTACGTACAATGTCAAAAAGAATAAATAATGAGTAACCGATTAAATAATTATGGTAATTAATAGCATGGCCATATAATAGGCATATAATAGGCCAATATAATAGGCATGGCAAACCGTTTAAAATTGCTAAAACTTCAGTAGACTCTATACTCTTGGAGTGTACCGGGATTTGTTTTAAAATTCTGAAAAAGTTTCATTACTTTACATAACACAGTGTAACGCGTGTTATTTAGAATTCAACAGAGAACTATGTTAGAAAAATTATGCATGCAAATTTGGAAAGCTATATACTGTTATCCTGGCTGCTAGCTGTGGCGGTGGCGGTCTCTGGTGGTGGCGTTCCTATGGAACAGCGAAGCAGTTCATCGCATAATAGAAGCCGAATCTACGCGAATGAACATGACCTGACCTCTGCCTTGCCTCGACGTATTTAGCAGTAGTTGTGAAGGGCCTAGACAATTCATTATTGCAAAAATATACAGTACTCGTCTCAGCTGTCTCTAAAGTACAATCAGGTATAATATATCCGCGTGTACCGCACGTACCGTATTCCCTCGAATAATAGAGCCTGCTTGAATAAAGACATGTGTGATTAAGGGCCGGGGGTGGTAAAGATACTTTAAATCAATAAACGCCGGGGCCTGAATAGTCGCCGGGGGGGGGGTGATGATGTATACAGGGTCTCCAACCCTGTGAACTCCAAATGCAGAATGTTCCCGCGGTGATCAGTAACTAGTGGCGTATTCAGAAATTGATGGAGCGCGATTATTTGTAATGTTGACAAACATTTACTATATTTTTGCTGGTTAATTTCATCAGTTTTTATGTTTTATATCGTGTGATGTAAATGTATCAAATAAAGTGCCATTGTTCCATGCGGTGAATTCTCTCTAACGGGTTTTTAATTACTTTCAGTTGTTCTGATAACAAGCAGGTGCGAACGTCGCCAGAGTAAAACAAAACTCCGTGAAAAAAACATCAAAGAAACCATGTTTTGGCCAGATCTTTGCACGAAATAACAGGCCTGTCTCTAGATATATTACGAAGGAAATAAATTAAATACCGGGTGTAGCATGCAGTGAAACAATAAACGCCCCTGCCTGAATAAAGGCATGCTTGAATAGGCGCCGGGGTGATTAGTGTGACGAAAACAATAAACGCCGGGCGTTTATTCGAGGGAATACGGTATGCATATATACATGACTCCCAGACTTATATTTTCCGTTTTGTCCCTATAATTCATATTAAATCGATTATCTTGAGCATGGGATTTCGTCATCTCGTAAAGTAAGCTCACTAACAAAGCAGCCAATGTGAAACTAGACACCGCACAACGTCTATCGGTTAACCAATAACTATTTTCTACGCGAATATATTGATATTCTATATAAATAGCTAGCTTATCATACATAACTTGCATTCCCGAGCACAGAACTGGCGTTTGGACTATCTTTTCATATTAGATAGCATCACTATTTAGTTTATAGAATCAGAGAGCTAACATTCAACATGGTAATATACCTTGCTGTAAAGCCATTATACCGTAAAATGGTAACATGTGAACGAGAAAGAAGTGCCTTTTTAATTAAACATGGATTTCAAATAAAATATCAATTTATCTTAGTATAATTCAAAATTCGTAATGATCCCAGAGAGACAAATATTAATAGTTTTCAGGTTGAGGCATAGCAATTTCCATTTTCATGGTTCGGGAATAATTTTTGCAATTCATTGTCCTTTGGGTATTTGCCCTAGCAGATGTTTAGAGAAATATAAAAAAAACGTGGAAAAATATAACATGTGCAGCAGCACATCAATAAAATATTACTACTAGAAGTGGCATATATTTGAATACATGCAATACGAAATTCTTTCGTCGCGTAAAATGAACGTAACGATATTTGCATAAATACACTGCGCACGTATATTTACATCAGCAATCAGCCGTGCTTTCCATTGAGAACTATGTTGATCTTGTCGAATTGGCATCATTTTGGCATGTTAAAAGGACTCGTAGATCTATAAATTACCTCTCAGTCTCCCGACCGTGCAGCTTACTAAGTTTAGTATTAGCTCATCGTTGGCGAAACAGTGTCACAATCAATAACGCGCACATGAAGGTTTACGCGGATAGTAGCAGTTTCGGGAGGGACAAAACAGTCTGCAGCAATAACAAATACTGCTCGCTGCCAGCACGGGACCACCACAGTTGCTCCTCACAATCAATTCGCGATAGTTTGCCCACAAATATTTGCGGTCCCGCGTCGTAGCGCGCGTTGCCGGAATATTGTCACAAGCAATTTCGAAATGTGTCCCAGGTGGGTCGGAAAAGTAGCGCGGTGAGTTAATTAGGAGTCCACGCGGTTATAAGGTCGTCCTATGTATCTCACACTTGGATTCACTTTAAATCGTGAAATCGTAAGTTTACTCTCTAAAATTTTCAAAATGAAGAACATCTGACGTACGAAAAATAAAATGATAATTCGTTCGGGGAATCCATATGCTAACTAGCTAAGTTGGAGTGGGACAGCCTATTCGGTTAACGGAACAAGATCAATAAAATTGCCCTTGCTGAACTCCTTAACTCGACCCTCTCTCTCTCTTTCGCGCTCTATCTCTCAATCAAAGTTATGTAGTTTATAGTTTAAAGTTATATACTTTGTGAAACAATTGATATTTTTCACGCTGGAGCGATTCATTTTAATGCAAATAAATAAATTAAAAATTATTAAAAAACAACAACATAAATAACTAACTAAATAAAAAATAAAAAAGATAAACTGACAAACTACCAATAAAATTTCTCATAAGTCTATAATTCTATAGAACAGTAAATGTTTACACATGCAACGTCCATCGATAATCGTACTTCACTTACGAGATCAGACTTGTTGTAAGATTGTCCCATAGTAGATAGGCACTAGTTCATTTCATATAAATGCTATCAGTTATATTAGTCACATCACAGTGATTTGCGACTAAAGCCATACCAACGGTTCAGTGACACTCACCAAGTTCTGCTGCCTGGTGATTACACACTTACTATGAACAACTTAGCTACCTGCGTTGTATAGGACGGCTGCGAACAGTTTCCTGTACACGCGCCTCTGTCCTGCTCGTGTGGGCCGCACGCAGATGCTAAGCAAACATTAAAAATGCATTTCGCAAATAATTTAATCATTGCAAACATCTGCAGAAGTGAATAAATATTTGAGTCTCATAAGCATTTAAAAGCTCGCCTTTTCGCAAACTTGGGTTTTTGTTTGCTCTCGAACTGGTTCCGCATTCAGCATTTCAGCTACGTCCATTCGCGGACCTTCACACGGACGCTGTGCTCTACCGTCTGTGCGTACACGCGGGCGTGTGTGTGCGCGCGCGGGCGTGTGTGTGTGCGCGCGGGCGTGGGTGTGCGCGCGCGCGTGGGTGTACGGGTG